TTGAGCCTTTGGGGCTTGCGCCCCGCCGGCGTGTGGTTTTCTAAATAGGCCTCCCCACCTTGCGGCAGGGAGGTGTGTGCCTAAAATTAACCTTTAGTCGCCTGCGCTTTAGGTGCGCTAGGGTGAGTACCTAGCGGTCGCCTAATGCAACAAGCACACAGGTAAAAATTACAATGCCGCCTCTGAGACGAGAAATGTGTGTAGAATTCTACTTACGGACAGGAACCTGCCTACGAGCACAACACTACACTAACACTATCCGCTCGGAAGTCGGGCAAAGTTTCTGCTTTCTTCTATAATGTTTTTTCTTTCTTCTATAATGTTTCTTCTTTCTTCTTGCTTGAGACTTCCCTAACCGTAGACCGCGAAACACGACAACGATGAGGCAAGCAGTGCACACCAAGAGATAAATGAAATGATATTAGCAACAACGGTTGCAAGATGGCTTCCGGGTCGGTTGGCATGGGCCCTCCGGCTCAGATTAACGTCCGTTCCGTGTGGAAGCACGAAGCGGAATCCCGTGGTGGACTATGCCCTGATACCCTCTATATAGAGGAGGCCTTTGCCAAGCAGTGGGACATGTATAGGCTGTTACTTTACTTTTTTTTTTTTAACAAAATGAAGACGGATCAATAAAAGACAAATGTAAATGATATATATATTAACAAATAATTTTGTACTGACTACTGACTACAGACACACTATAATACGGCGTTGCTGATATCGAGCCACCTGTATGTTTAGGCCATTATATTGCATTCAATCTGCAGAAGTGACACAGATCAATAATTGATTGTACCTAAATAAATTATTAGATAAGTAGAAAGTGTTAAATCACGTTTGAAGGCATCTTACAAGTTGAATGTTGTGCAGATTTTTGTTTACCACTTGTACCAATTGTAACACTTCTACTTTACGCCGGTCTTCTGTGAGGTCGTAGTACTTACTCGGATGGACCTGCCCATTCATGCAATAGTGAAAACTGTTGCGTGGCCCTGCCACAGTTCAATGAAAAGAGCCAAGATGAATGGCCAGTTTGGTCAGGTTTACTTGAAACCTTATTTTTCGGCCACTGTACATTTCCAATTTATTTTGGAAATCGTTTACATATCAGGAAATACTCTTGAACGGTTTTGTCAATCTTCATCTCACGGGCGGAAAGCTTCTTATATATTACTGTATTAAGTTTAATAACCTTGGTGACAAATTCTCCTTGTAGGGCCTTCTTCAAATTCAGGCGAATTTGAAGAAGGCCTTTTTTCCTAAAGGTCTCAGAAAATGTTCAAACGGGTATGGGAGTAGATTAATTTCTCAATTTTAGCCTGTCCTCATAAGTTTACCGGTGTCTTCAAATTCGTCGATAACAAAGAAAGTACATAGATATCGAGAGTTTCGCGCGGTGAGGTCATCGGCTTAGTTGGTAAAGCATCTGGGCACGATTACCCAGGAGCAGCAGGTTGAAATCCCGCAGAATTGAAAGTTTTTATCCACATATCTAAATAAAATTAAGATTTTACTAAAGTAAAAGAAAATTATTGTAACATATTCTTGTTTTTTCAAGAATACGTATTCTGATGTGTAAATTAACCTTATAACATGTAAACAACGGAACTCTGACCTCACATGTGTTAAAGACATACGTAGGTGTGGTAACATAGCATTAAAAAGCTGGACAAGAGCGAGTCGGACTCACACACGAAGGGTTCTATGCCATCCTTACTAATATTATAAAGGTGAAAGTTCATATGTATGGATGGATGTTTGTTACTCTTTCATGCAAATTCTACTGAATGGATTTTAATGAACTTTACAGTAATATAGCTCATACAGGGTGGCTTTTCTAAAGGTGCCCAAATTCACACAGGAGGTTCAGACTCGGTAGTATAATTGTTTGTTGAAATAAAAACAAACTTTTTCTTTTTTAAGAAAATAGCCATTCTATTCCCTCATTCATAATTGCGTCGCATACTTTTGAAACGAACTTGTGTGCGTGTTAGTTATGAATGATCGAGCGTAAAATAAATGAGTTGCCCATAAATCACGCACTTTCTGAGATAAGTTTAAATGAATGTAATTAATTAATTACGAGTGATTTTAAATATTTATCACTTTTTATATAACTTTATTTATGTTTAAAATTTTATAAAAAAAAATGGATACACTTAGAAAATCTCCCTGTATATAAGAATATAACATAGGTTATAATTTATATACATATTTTTATGTATATATGTTTTTCTGTCTGAATATTACGCCTTCAACCTATTCTACGTAGTCGCGGGCAGCAGCTAAATGGCAGCAAAAACGTCAAACAAAATCATGTGTAATAAATACATCATCTGTTAAAAATCTGAACTGTCTTACTATCATATTTCTTGAGATACAGCTTGGTGACAGACGGATAGACAGACAGACAGGCAGACAGCGAAGTCTTAAGAATAGTTTCCCGTTTTACCCTTTGGGTATGGAACCCTAAAAAGAAACTGCTTTATTTTACTTGCCTTCAAAGATTTCGAGCTTTGTAAATACTTGAAAATTGTAGAAGTTCAGTTACCCATTATGCACAACCTATGTCGATTATGAATCATGATTCAGGCAAAACATCGCACGGTAAAGTTTTGTTGTACTTTTGACAACTTTAAGCGAAAATATTAAAAATCTTTTGCCGTACCCAATTTATGGCTGAAGTTTTAGGAGGGTAACTTCGGAATATGTTTTGTGCCTTGTAATTTGTGAATTGTTTTTAATTTCAAGGAATATTACGAACGGAATTTTTTTCTGAAATTAATCTTGATTCTCTTATCTCTCATAGCAAATTCTCGTAAAATTATTTTGCAGTTTCCTCCCTAATGTTCCTTATAGACATAATATGTTGATATATTTACTTCATTCAAAAATGTAATCTACATTTTCGTTAGTTTACTTTTACATCTTGTGCATACTGAAAATGTTGATATGCCCGGAAAATTTTAGTTTCGATATTAATATGACAGGATATTCATACATAATACTTATGTTCGAAACAATGTTGAATACAAAATGAAAACGGATTCTCTAAAATTTGTAGAAAAATTGAATGAACAGTTATTTTCACTGCTGCAGGAATCGAACCCGCGTCTTCCAGATTCGCGCCCAAATGGTTAAAAAAATAAGTTTTTAACTAAAGTAAAAGGCTATTTGCCGCACCGCGTAAAATCTCAACGGAATTTATCTTGACATGATTTCTTGATAACCTTTTATAGGTATTTATAATTTCAAATATCAATGGCGATGTCTCTTGTTCGAATTATCGATGTAAAAAAACGATAATTGAAATTGTTGGTGTGTTGTAAAGTGCATAACAAGAGATGGACCAAAAAATTCGAAAAAAAAATTTAGCTAAAATAAATTGATTTTCATTCGTGTTGCAATCAGTCGTTTAGCGTAGTGTTTGAAGCATCTGAGGGTGAATCCGGAAGATATGGGTTTGATTCCCGCAGCGGTGATACACTCTTCGTCCCTTTTTCACAAATTTTAATGAGGCATTATTTCTTTTGAGCCACTATTTACGTACAATAAGAGTAAACATCTCATTGATTTGTCTTTAAAATGCTACCTTAAAAATCAATTCAAAGAAATTAACTTACTCTCAGTCAGGGGACTATGATTGGTAAAATAATATCATGCAACCCAACGGTGTAGGAAATTTCCATGGGTGGCGGTTATAACTTAATCAGGTGAACCCCTAGCTCACTTTTCACTTTCTCACATAAAAAAGAGCGGAGATAAACGCTATTAAATTTATACATGGATTCTGCTAAATAGGCTAACATAAATGTAATTGACTAGATCTCAACGTTCCTTTACTAACGTTCTATTTCTTTTACCTTAGACAAAATACTTAGAATAACATATGGACGAATTTTGTACCCATTATTCCAATATAAATGTCTCCTATTACCATATTCCCTCCTATCAATAACATTAGGCTTCAATTTCTAGCGATCGGAGTAGTGAATAGTGATTGGCAGTGGCAGTTCTACTTGCCGGTTATATGAAACAAAAGAAACTAAAATCATATTAATATCTGCTATTCATAAAAAATAGGTTTGGTAACTTTGATGTAAAATGATGACCTATTAAGCGCATAAAATGTATAAAATCATAAGTCATACTTTATAAAAACTTCTTTGACATTAATAAATAATACAGATTACATTGCAAAATAATAACTTACTAAGTACTATATGGAAAGAGTATGGCTAAGTAACAACCTTGTGAAAATTTCCAAAGGATGTTATAGTGTCACAGGCGTTAATTTTCATGAAAAGGGCGAGTAAAATATTGATATACTAGCTGCTGCCCACGACTACGTCTGCGTAGAATAGGCTGAAGACGTAACATTCTGACAGAAAGACAGATATACATAAAATATGTATATAAATTATAGCCTATGTCTTATTCTAATATATAAGCTATATTATTGTAAAGTTTCATTAAAATCCGTTCAGTAGTATTTGCATGAAAGAGTAAAAAACTTCCATCCATTCATACAAACTTTCGCCTTTATAATATTAGTAAGGATTATTACTATCAATATTTTTATCGGTAAAGGATAAATTTGTTTAGCAATAAAAAAATCAATTAGAAAAATATCAAGTTATCATTAAAATAGTACGAGTGAATACGTAGGTAATTTTCTGCAAATTAATGTCTACGGCATTCAGAGGCGGTTAGCTAGTGCGGAAACTGACTTTACTCGCTTAGTTTCTATGTACATAGTGATGGAAATAAATGTGAGGGTGTACCGTCGTAAACAGAGTGATGGTAGTCAACCAGAAGGGATGCTCGAATCCATCAAATATCAGGAAAAGTGGAGAGAACTCGTAACGTGGCACGCTCAGCGCCGTCAAGAGCAATACTTGCGTAACAAGCCAGGACGGTAGATTCACCTGCAGCCTAACAAGATAACTATCGATGTTTTGAGATATTATCTGTAGAAGATCGGACGTGAAGCGACGATGAATAGCTTCCACTGCAGTGAAAGCAACCAGGACTCCGAAATATATATCCTGGCGGTGTGCTCAACGTGGCAAGTGTCAACCCACTGGAGTATCCTGGGGAAGTACATTGCGCGAAATCTCATTCTACCAGCAGTCGTGTTGGTGATGCTGAGCGCAAATATGACGTGGAGGGCCGCAGCCTCCTTCTGTGAGATCGGGATGGTTCAGAAAGAGTTTACTGAGCGGGATCGAGAGAACATAGACCTCGCTCGGCGACGGGGCAAACGGTGCATCCATGCGGCTCGAAATAGCACTCAAAGAGATGGTGTCCCCCTACCAGGAACGAATCTTAATAAACAGAGAGGCCGATCGGAAAAAAGATCGAAGTCTTTCTAATCGGGTCTTTCTAATGAGCTTGATCCTTTAGTTTTGCATCGAGATATTGGACTACTCTGAATCTCCTGCCACATTTATCACAGGGACTCGTCCGGGGAATGCTTGAATTTGTACAAAGTGCTGGTCACCATCGGACAACGCACCAAAACCAGAAATTTTATCCACACCATCTCGATGTCCGGCGGTCCACAACAGTGCGATTATCGAAGCATTTCCTGCTGCACAATCACTCTTTGGAACCATCTGTCGCCGGCGGTCTTTCTGAACCGTTACGACCTGGGAAGCCCCAAGAAGAGAGCATATTCTTTCCTGAAAGGGCGGCAACGCATTTGCACGCCCTCCGGTTTTCCAGATGTTTATGGGCAGCGGTGATAACTTTCACGTTAGTAAAAAATAAGGTTTAACATTAATTATTATGTTATTTCAGAATACAACAAACATCAAACTCGTAATACTCGTAATTTTTAAAGTAACTGTATAAATTGTATGCCCAGCAGAATTTAAAAAAATTATCATTGGAATTGGAATTAAACGTCAATTGCGTGTTTCTTTTTGATTTTCCATTTTATTTTCCCCATAACATTTCCTTATCTGTCTGGAGAATAGTTTTAATATATTTATTTTACTTATGTATTTTATTGTTTTAATAACTTAACTTACTAATATAGAAAATAAAGGCGTTCCCTTGCTCTAAATTCCGCATTCAGATTAAAGACTTAAATAGTAACTTTACAAAATATATTGCAAGTTAAAAGTAAAAAAGTTGCATAAACACATCTAGTAAATATTAGGTTACTATTGTAATTACAGCATTTGTCGGTCGCGTAATTGTATAGAAATTATTAGCAAGTATCAATTTGATTGGAAATGAGTCTATCAATATACTATTAAAACACTGATATTATCCATCTAAAACTCCAGTAATCGGAAACCAGTGTTTTTGGGACCCCCATATTTTTCAATCTATATAGAGACAGAGATTTGATGATGAGAAAACTTTAAATAAAGACTCTCATTATTTAATATTTGATGCTTTATAATCTTAAATATTACTAAAGCAAAATTATAGTCAAAGCATGTGCGCTACAAAGTTAAAAGTCATGTTACTTAAAAGGAGCTTTGTGAGTTCGAAGCTTAATGGAGGGCATAAGAGGATTGAATCTCAGACACCTGTCGCTGTTTATACAATCTTGACTAGCTAAAATAACTGTTACACTATTTATACTGTAGAAAAAAAATCCTTAATGCAGACTTATAAAAACATTTACAGGAAAAACAAATTTTGTTATATACAATGAAAATGAGTTTTCATTATATATAATAAAATATGTATGTTCATTATTCATATTACATAAAAAGGAGACGCTTTTCAATTCATACGTTTATGACATCTAGTAAAAGTAACCGATCCAGGACAGTTATAGTCTCAAAGTCTATATATCTACATATATATGTATATTTATGTTTCTTACGATCCGTATGGCCATAAAGGCGGCGAATTCCAATAATCCCCTGGTATTTAGTAGCAATCTGTATGTAGCAGGTGCTACCCTCCAAGAAGTGTTATTCGAAGCCCCAGCTACAATCCAGGTTGTGGTCCAGGTACTTTATGTACAGCCGAACTCTTACTTCACTCACCTACATACATTTACGGGTTCATAAAGTACCTGGATAGTTCTCACTAAGTGGTAATTTGGTAAATCATAGTGCCTCTGTCTTATATGGCATTATTTACGAACACATAATCTTATGGATATGCAGGTTTGTCAACGTAAAGTTTAGACTCAAGCTGGTTGCAAGACATGGCCTGCGCGTCCGGGGCGACAATTTGTTCAGTCTTCCAGTGCTGATACTGATAATAACACTTGTACTGTATCAGCTTTATAAATACTTATGTTCTGATAAAAAGGAAAGGAATTAATCTTTTTTAGTTTATCCATTATTTTACCAAGTTAAGTAAAGCTGATAAGCCGATGCTTTAATTGTAAAAAGTTATGAACAATAATTAGTACAAATTAATATCCAATGTGATTTCAATATTAGTCTGTTACTTTAGTAAGTTCCATTATATGTATAATTTATTCAAGATTTCATTATGTTTAAGAGACGTGAGGTGAGATCATACAGTTCATTATGTATGCAAATAGCTTCCACGATGACAGATTAAACGTGAATAATCCTCCTATTTAGGCTAAAACATTTCCTACTTAATTTATTTTTCAATAAAGAAATGAAGAAAGATAATCTATACACATCAAAAATATGTGTAATCAAACTTTTTAATCTGAAAATTATTTTTATAAAAAAATAAATAATGTAAACATAAAAAATCTTTTGTTTTATTTTGGTGGATTTTATGTTGTGGAGTTGAACTTGATAAATTGTCAATTACTTAAAATCGTTGATTATACAGCGACGCAATTTAACAAGAAATTAAATGCTGATCGAAGGAAGGAGTACCAACCACTGCTCGTCAAGATCGTTTCACGTTGCTCACCACCAAACATCATAGATAGGATTATAGCTTCAAAATTCTGCTAAAACTGCACTAAAGGTGGCTGGACTGCACGAGTATGGCCTTTGTTCTTTATTCGATGCTTGATAAAGTGCCCACAACCTCGATTGTCATGGAAATCGAGGTCGCTGAGACGGGTGTCAAGATCTATAAATAGCCTGTAGACAGAGAACGACTGAGGTGTTTAACACGTTGAACGCCATCAAGATTTTCGATATAGTTCCATTTAGGCCACGGGGGACGCCGGTGTCCGACAACAACAACTCTATTTGGGCCTTGGGGGTCACCCGTGACCGCAAGGTAGGATGAAGTTTGAACCGCTTATTTTTTACGAGTACCATAATATATAAGAAAATTTATATGCAATATGACCGTTCTGGCCTAGGAGAACACGTATGTAATCATGGTTCGTGAAAACATGTGAAGATGCATAAAAAATTAATGGATTTGGACAGAGAGTATGTCATTTACGTAAGGGGTATTTTAATTTATATAAAAATGAATGGATAATATTATGTACTCTTAAAATAAATGTTTACTGACCAATATATAATTTGTTAAAAACTTAAAATTTTTAAAACAATTATTTATATATAACGTAACATTCCTCGAATTTTAAGTAAAAAACCAAGTAGGAACTGCTGACTTGAGATCAAAATCAGCCATGAAATTAAAACGAAACGTCAATGATGAGTAATATTAGAGCATTGGATACATAAGAAAGACTTGAGAACAATCTTCACAAGAGGTGATCACCTTTTAAATATTATTTTTGGCAAAATTTCTGACCATTGTGACGACAATATCTTTGTTACATTAAACACAGCTTCGTCTATCTATACTATCCTTGAATGCATCTGATTCCCTGACCAATTTACGTGTCGCTCGTCGAGAGCCCTGAACAGATGCAGCAATACTATCGTTCCTTGCACGCAAACTTTTAAGTATCTCTTTTCTCATGTCCGTTTGGATCTTTTTGTCCGTAACAGATTGGTACAATAGCAATGAATTCACGACAGCTGTATTTAGTAAGATGTTTATTGCTATTTTTTTATATCACTTTATAGATTTTCTTATAGGTGTGTTAGATCGGAAAGTTCTATTGTTCCTTTAGCGTTGTTAAAGTAGTATTTTCCGAAATTTTTAGACTGCACTTAAAGAAGAGAAATATTACAATTTTAAACTGTTTGGTTTAAAATTGTAATATTTCTCTCCTGACCCGCCATCACATCACTGTAACCCCATCATTGCCGTCACCACATCCTTGGGAAGGTGCTTTCGGTTTTTGCCGATAGTACCCACTTTTTCAAAGTTTTCTGGCCAGATCTACTATACTCAACCTTTGTTCAAAAGGTATTTTATATGATCTATAAGAACGTTATCTTGATCATGTAACAAATTCGGAACAAAAGAAACGATTACGGCTCATTATAGTCTTCATCTGGTACTAGTAGAAAATAAATTCATATTTCTTACAAGATTCGGAGGAAGCCCAGGAAATTTAGTGTAAGGTATTATACATATTTCGTTTATTGCTTAGAGGCGAGAAATACTACGACGAAAAACCTGTCGATGGACAGTTTTTCGAAGTGAAATATGAAGCAGTCGCATTTTCATCGTCACTAGTATTTATTCTATGAAACCGCTGGTATCTCGGCGCTCAAATACATTCTCAAATGAATAGTTCATTTTTATGTTCATTTTATGTACAATAAAGACAAAAGGCGCGGGAAATATTGGCGTGGTCGACAACGTGACTGCATGGCCCAGCAGTAGACTAAAATGGATTTGCTTCGGCATGGGCCATGGGGGTCACCCGATCATTCAATATTACTCTGATTTTTCACCCCAATCGGTCATATCTTTAATTTAATACAATTTATTACTATAATTCTATTAATTAAAGACAAAAAACAATGTTCTAATTTTTGACCAAACTATAAAATTTCGTGTGGCCCATGCATAAAGTTAACTGCCGGCACATGGTGTCCCCCATGGCGTTTAACGTGTTAAGAAGTTTATCTCTACAGTGAATCAACGATATTGGTTTGGGCGAGAAGTGTGAAGGAGAGACGAACTGAGCTTATGTTCATAAATGGCAAGCTAGACACAGATTCTTTAGTTAAAAATATTCTGCCACCTCTTGGTATTCCCTTTTTACAAAGTATTGTCCTTTTCACGGGCTTACTGTAGTGCAATAAGCTCTGTCGTGTGCTGTACACCACGGAGCTCATTGGCCCAAGCTCTCATGGCCAGGAGGACTTAAGAATGGCTCTAGTACATTCAAGTACTACCGGTGCCTGCTCAATTGCTGGTATGCCATCCCTAGGAAGACTGAAAGATACAGACAAAGTATCCACCATATAACAACTGCAAGACCTATTGAATTTTCATTGGGTGCAATTACCTGATGGATGAGATCAATAACCTCATGGAATCGATGAACCGCCTTTGTCGTCAGGTTTCAATTAACTAAGGTGGT